TTGCTAGAAAATATTGTTAATTTGAACATAAGGCTTTTAATTTCTGTGGTGGAAGAAAACTCATAAATCAATGCTTTACAATTAGGTTTAATATTCTGAATAAACGAATATAGATAGGGATATCTGTGCATTTTGCATTTAAGTCATTTATAAACTGTTAACAGTGATGTTAAGGAAGAGAAAGTGGGTCAAAGATTTTTCACTTTTAAATAATGGGCATAAATTATTGAATATTATTTTGGATGTAAAAATGCTTATAGTTGAAATAGTCTTTTTTTGAAGCTAAATAGTTCTATGTATTGCTTGAATTGCTTAACTTCATAAATTTAAAGAAATTTGTGCGATTTTTTATTGAAAAGAGATGAAAAGAGCTTTTTTAAGGAATATACAGAGAAGATTCGAAAAAAGAAAGGATTGATAGTTGGAGCATATAGAGCTAACATGGAATCATTATTTCCACTTTGTACACGGAAGAAACAGATAATATTCCCAGCTAAACTACTCTTCGCCAACCAACAGCTCATGAAGAGTGCTATTAATCCGTTTAAGTTACTAAAAGAAAGTACTGCACAAATTGGTATGCCTTATTTCTTGAATTTTTAGTGGGTTCTGTTGCAATTTCAGCTTAAGAGCATTTCATACCGAAAAAAAAAAAAGGATGGGACAAAATGATTAATAGGCATTTATTTGGAAATTTCATGAAAACTGAAAAAGTGGTGAGTTGAAACACCAGACAACTTTTTTTTTTCATTAAATTAGTTAATTGATGGAATATTGTAGCAGTAGTAGGGGCCAAAAAAGAGAAATATATATGCACTGCTGGTTTTAGGGAAACATGTAGAAATTAGTTTGTTCATTTTCTAAAAATTTTAAGAATTTCTGAAGCGAATGTAAAGCAACATAGTTGATTGGTTTTCTGTTTCATTTCATAATAAATGATAGAAACAGTAATAAAATTGTGGTACTCCTTGAATTTGTCTAAATATGTTGATGGCAGCTTGTGTGAGACCAATTTTTTTTCTCACTTTCTCACAGGACGTCTTTTCATGGAGCTGCTGTGAGATGGAGTAATAACTCCATTATCAGTCTTATGGAATTATTCACCTTGATCAGACTGTTAATGCGTGAAAAGCTGTCATATTAAAATTATTGTACGCATTTATTCATAGAATCATAAGAGATAATTGTTGGTAGCTAATATTTCCTCATATCTTAATTATTCTCGAAAATCTAAATTTAAAAATCTGATGAAATATTGATGTCATGCTCTTTAAAAATTAGTTTTTTTCAGGTAAATTGGCCTTTTTTTGTAACTCTCACTTTTTTTTAAACATATCTGTTGGAAATTGGTATAGAGAGGACTTGAGAATTTTATTTCACTGATATTGAAGAGTTCAAAGAAAAAAAGCTTTGTTTATATTTCTTTTTTGCATAAACGAATAAGCAATAAAACTGTATTACTCTGCTTATTTTTGCTACCATTTCAGATGACGAATCCGGTAATAAACAAAGATTTGCACCGATAATAATCGGTTGTTTACCAACAGTTAGTCAGCAATCTAATATGCTTACTTCAATGATATTTAATTTAATCATGCATTTATGCGCTGTGAAAAAGGATACAATGTTTCAGTATGGCGCTGTACAGCTTATCACATTTCTTTCAGCTAGGTAAGTTATTAGCATTGAAGTAGTTATTTTTTGAAATATCAGAAAATTTTGACAAAATGTGTAAATGTGATGGATAATGACCAGATAATAGTAAAAAATGAGTTCCAAATTATTAGAACTCTTTTTTGAAATACGATTTAGTTTCTACACGAAAAACTTTCTGTACAGCTTATCACATTTCTTAATTGTCAGTTTTACGTGTAATGTTTTTCTTTATTTCGCTGCACCTCTTTTTTTTTTGGCATAACAACAGTTAGTAATTATTCGCTGCGCTTATTGAGTAGTTTATGACTAGCATTGTTCTCTGCATGCTAATGGTTGATTATCAGTGTTGTGGTTGGCGAAGAAACATCTATTGTCCCATATTTTAAATATAAAGGCACTCATAAAATTGTTGTCAAACTTCCCTACCTTTGTGGATTCTCCTTCAATTAATTTTTTCTTGTACAATTGTTTTTTTTTAAACTAGCTTTCTCTAGTCGAAGAGAATAGTGACAGTATTTCTCGTGCTCAGTAATTTCACATTTTTGTCATTAAAAAAAAAAATAATAAATTTTGCTTCTATTTTGCAAACAAATAGGAGCTTTTTTTTGAGCAATTTTGTGCTGGCAACGTGTGCTATGGATCCCAATATGCAGTTCGTATCGAATGGAATCAAACACAAATCCTGGCTACTCAACAAATTATTTGCTGTTAAACCATTATCTGGTTACTCAGGATTTCCATATAACACTTTTAGCCCCCCATTTCCGCTATCTAGTTCTTTCTCTTATGAGAAAAAATTTAATTCGGTAATTTCTTCTTTTCATTTTTTGCTATGATTTCCATATTCATACTGATAATGTAGTGTTTGGGATAATAAAATTATCACTATTATGATGCTTTTTCTTTTTTCTGTTTAATATTTGCTTGAGGAAGATGTAAAGAAGACTTTTATTTTAAATTTTTTAAAGCTTCATAAAACTATTTTCAAAGTTATTAAGTTTTTGTCACATTTCATTGATTTTAGTTTTGACAATCTGTTAAATTTAACATGTTTTAATGTTTGTTAGTTCCTATTAAATGGTCTTTATTTGTTATGTAATGTTTCAGATTGGTATTAGGAACGAAAATCTATATGGTGTGACAATAGAACCGAAAAACGAAATTGATATTGGTGATCTGAATTTATTGGTCAGTTCGAATGAGGAAATTCTAATGAAGTACGCATTTTGGATTACTTTTACAGGCAAGATGACTGCTAAAACAAAAGTCGCCCAAAAACTCAGGTATGATACAATATTTACTGCCGATTGACATCATTTGGGTCATAAATTTTTTTCTGGAACTGTATGAGATATGGACTCGATTTTCTCTTTATTGATTGTCAGATTTTCCCACTATTGGTTCAGTAATTCTGCAGACCTCAGCAGTTAGAAACTATTCAGTTGAGTTTCATTTTTTAAGCTCCGTATTTAAATATCATAACACGTAGGACCTTCCAGGGAATGGCTTCCAAAAGCAAACATAGATCTAAGCTCTCTGGTTGAATCCGATGCTAAAGTTGCTGATTTGAAACTGGAAGATTTCGATAAAATATTTTCTTTGTTGCATATAGAGTTGAACGATGATTTTGCGCATATTGGTGAGCTAAGGAATTTTTATGCTCACTTCAGGCCTGCAATTGAAAATGCTAAATTTGCCGATTAATAAAGCTATTGTTTATATTGCACAAAGTGACAGGTTTCATAGAATAATGGCCTGATTAAGATTTGATAAATATATACAGAAAGGTTAACAGAAATTCAAACATTAACTAGATAGATAAAACATTACTGTTGGTTGCTAAAACAACCAACAGTAATGGATGTCGTTAGTTTATAGAGTTGGATTTAAGAATTAAAATAGAGCAAGTTTCATAGAATAATGGCCTTCCAGTTGATGGTTATACTCTATTATTTGTTTCTGTGTGTACATTTTTAGTATTTATAACTGTGTTTTTTGAGGATCTCAGTGATTTGCATTCCAGATCTTGTTCGGTATTACACTTCATGTTATTCATGTTATTGTCGAAAAGTATATCACTTGCACAGTTCATTTTCCTCTGTTACTGAATTTTCCTTAATTCAATTCAATTCCAGTTCGAATAGAGTTTGACAATGCAGGAAGACATAAATTCACGTTGATTAAATTCAGTAACAAAAAAAATTTCAGTTTCTACTATTCCACTGTATGTGCGTATGTATCGTGTCGTTTATGAGTTTATGAAGAGGACCTGATCACTATTTATAAATCTGGTATTTTTTTAAAATCAGCTGTGCAATATTTTGTGTGCCTGTCATTTGAACTATTCTATTAGGTTGTTTTCGATTGTTTTCGGTGTTATTTGTTTGGAATTAAATTTATTGTTACTTATTTGTTAAAATGAGATGCATTTCTTACATGGTCAGGTTGAAGTTATTCCGACATTTCGGTCTCTGGCATCGGATAGCTTCCGAGTCTTTTTGGAAGCTTAATATATCAATTGTCTAACTTTAGATGCATTTGAGACATATGGGTTGTGGTGCCTTTCTATAGGAACTTTACTGTGAATCATTCCAGTATTTTATTTTAGTATATATATATATATTGATCAATCTAGGTCTCTGAATTAGTCTGCTCCTTAGGAAGTGTGGTACGGTGAAGCTAAGAGAATAATAATTGAGAAGCTGCAGAAGGGAATAGTAGTTTTGTGTCGAAGTCAAACATTCGATAGGTCTGTTCATAGCGTTGAATGATTTGGACAGGTAAAGGAAACTTGACGGTAGGTTTAATTTAATTCTCAACGATCACCCCCCCGAAAAGTTGCCATTCATGAGTTCAATTCTGTCCTCATTGACCGGCACAATATCTATTGATCATTCCAGTATTTTATGTTTGTCGTTTTGTGTCGAAGTTAAGCAGAGCCAATCTGTTTTGAAATTAATATATTACACGAGCAATTTAGTAACTGTCGTGAACTGTCATCCGTTCATGTAGAATGGAAGAGAGAGAAGCAGAAAAAGTGATCGGGAAAGAAAGAGAGAGAGGGAGAGAGAGAGAGAGAAGAAGTGGACGAGTGGGAGAATGCTGGCTTCGTCTCATCCATTTTGTCCCATTGATTGTTAAATTTAGCTTCGTTCTTTTAAGCCGTCAGTTTTTTTTTTTTTCTTTTTGAAATGACTTGTTGATCCTCTTTTCCAAATAATTCAATATTTGTTTTAACAGCTTTTTTTTTTAAATAATTTGGAACGAGATAATAACACGTGAAATGGAACTGTAATTTTTTTTCTGTAATTGCAGTGTAATAAGCAAGCACTGATGAATAAATGATGTTTGAGCTAAGAAAGTATGGTACTTCTATTTTGATCCATTAAAAATACTTGGTTGTATTTGTCCTTTATTCTGCTTCTCTAGTTAGTCTTACTATTTACGTTCAATTTTCTTTACTGGTAATTATTATATGGAAGGGGAAGATGCTGTCTAATACTTCATACTTCAGGTGGAGCCACACGTCATTCCATGAGCATCAGCGTGGGTGATGCTACCTTTAATCGCTCATTAGTAGCTAACCGTCAATCGCAGTGGAAGAGTCAGAAGGTATTCATCGATCGGATATATCAGGTAAATAACTAATTATCACTTTTTGCATACCGCGCTATGCTTTACCACTGACTAGTGTAAATTATCACTATGTTCTTCTCTTGCTTCGTTACTTTCCGTAAATTACATCTTTTGACAGTTTTTACTCTTTGGAATTCTTATTACCTCTTACCGTTAATATTCATTATTATATCACCAAATTCAAGTATTTTTTAAATGTTTCTACTGTTCCAATGTGGCGTTATCATTGTTGGTATCTACATCTTCAGATATCCAACAATTGTCATCCTGGCATCGGACTGGACCAAGCAGCTGCTGAACATATCCAAGAAATCTTGATATGTTTATTTTTTGAATTACTGGAATATCATCCACAGACAATCGAGGACATGGAACGAAATATGCGTACCACTTTGCCGGCAAGCATGTTCCATTGGGTTATACAGGTACTCCCTTCGTTAGAAACTTCATTATTCGTTCGCGCTGCTGTTATCAATGTTTTTTGCGCTGCAAGTGATTGTGCAGATGTTCTATTTCAGTTTCAAAATACTCCTGAAGCATTACACAGAATTCCACGGAAAAAACTTCATGATAAACGAAATGCAAACTCGAAAAGCCTGATGTCACTTTTGCACATGTTGCAACCAAAACTGAAGGTATCATTTGGTATCTTTTATTTTGAAATCAATAATTTATTACTATGTTATACAAATAATAACTGTTGAGTGTTGCAGGAATTGCTGGGTTACAAATTAGATGAGGAGGTAATGCTATACTTGCTTTCCGTTATCGAATACATTGCTGCAGATATACTAAAGGTATATTGGAAGCATCTTTGTCTCTTTTTTTGAAGTAACATATCGTAATGAAATGTTCAGTTATTTCCTAGATGTAATTGTCATTTATTTCAGTGGACTGGAAACTATGTGAAAAATATAAGGAAATGTGATCCCACTATTGGTTTGCAGAATTTGAAAATTGCGCTTAGTGCTGATACAGTGAGTCATTTTATTATGATTCGTTTTTATTATTGATAAATATTGGAGTTTTAAGTAGATTAATGGTAAATTTTTCTACCAGACAAGAAGGTAATTCTCCTGCCTTTTCCAAAATTTATGTTTGTGCTTTATTATTTGGATAACTTTTCGATTTTTATAATTCTAACTTTGTAGAGCTTGATGGAGCTTACAGAAATGTTGTACAATGAAGAAGAGACATCCACAGCCGGAATATTAAATGATAATGTCGAAGATATTGTGCAAGAAATGTCATATGATGAGGTGCTTTTTAGGTGATTTTAAAATTATCACGTATCTTTTATTTGTATTGTAGCATATGGCGCTGCTGTCATCAGCAAATTGCATTTCTCTGATTTTTTTTGCGCTTTCATTTGTTATACATACACTTATTATGTATTGTCGTGCATGCATCAAAAGAGATGTAAATTTAGGCATCACGCGATTTCAATCGTGAAGAAGCTCAATATCTTCGTGATCTTAATCTCATCATTCATGTCTTTCGGCGTCGTTTTGAGACTGCTTTCGAGCATGATGCAGTAATTTCTAATAAGCTTAATATTTTCTTGTATTACATTTCTATCTATTTATGACTAAGTTTTTGTTTTTTTTTTCTTTTTTAGCAAGTCATTAATATGAAATATATTTCCAGCACTGTCTTGATGAAATGTTTGGCAACATTTTGGAATTGCATGAATTAACAGTGAAGGTTCAGCGAATGTTGGAAGATGCAATTGAAATGTCTGATACTCCATGTGTAGGAGCTGGTTTATGGGAACTTGCGGAAGCTCATGAATTTGATGTTTATATCGCTTATATGGTATTTTCTATAAGATAAATAAATTCAGCAAAATATGGTTTGAAATCTCTTCCTCATTTTTGAATATGAGATGTTAGGAATTTATTCTTTATGATATATTTTAAGGATTTATTCAAACAGTCGCTGACAACTGTAATAGAAAAAGTGTTGAACGATGCTAAATATGAACATTTTTTCTTGGTAAAATATGATCCTTTTTTGTTATTGTTTGGAATTATTTCTAATATTTCGCACATAATCACAATTTTAACGCAAATAAGAAAGATTGTGAATAAATGAGTATATTTTGGGAAGAAAATTTTTTGAGACATTCGTTTTTTTTTTTTTCAGCTGGAAGATCGGACACACAGTATAACTCCTGGGGGTGAAGCGTTTCGACTTGCTGTTAAATACGTGCTTCCTTCTCTTCTCGAAATTCCTGTTATTCATTTCTTTCGTTATGTTGAATTTACAAATGTTAGTTTTTTCCTAATTCTAAAAATTTAGATTCAGTCTGAATTCATCCAAATTTTAATCTGAATTTTTCTGTTATCCTAACCCTGCTACATTTAATAAGCAATTGCAGTGTAGTAAATTTGTTGTATTATAAAATCGTAGTAAAATGTACATATTTTTAATTGCTAAGTCATCATTTTTACAAATTTTTTTTAATTCATGGTTCATCCTAGATTTTATGTCATCTGGCACGACCGCCTGATGAAATCGAAGATTTAAAAAGCACGAAAAGTTATTTTAGCGGTCTTGCTGTAAAAATGGAGTCACTATGTCCTTTATTTCTGATTAATCATCTGAAAACGTTAGTTCTAATTTTTATTTTAGCACAATTGAAAATTCCATGATTGCTGCTTTCCTTTTATATCCCATTCATTACCACTTTATAGGGAACAAAGCGTTCGTGCTTTGCCAGAATCAAATTGCTCACGTCAGAGACGAAGGATCCAAGAAATTCAGCGAAGCATTGAATTATGGGAAGGGAAGGAAATTGGTTACAAATGTGCAGAAGTTATTAGAGGTTTCATCTCTCTGGATTTTTTTATAAATAAAAGGATTATTTAATGTCATAAAGAGCCCACATGACAAAGTTTATTAAAGTCCATTCGAATAAAGTGGAGGAAAATAAGTTCTCAGTAAGTACTGGATGAACTAGTTTTTGTTCTTTATGCATTTTATATTTATAATATTATTTTGAAACTACAATATTACTCATTAACTTACCTTACAGAAGGTGATTTGTTACTGTTGCGATCTGGACCACCATCTTCTGTTGGTAAGATTTTTATTTGTACAGTTAGACTTATTAAACCATAAGCTACTTTATAACCAACGGTTTAAATTCCTAAGAAATAACTAGTTATGCTATTATAATTAAACGTTTTTCTATGAATTTTAGCAATCTTATAATGTTTTGTGTTAGGTTTATTATTTCCGAATTTCAAAAATCCCCTACAGATACGCTGAAAAAGAACAGGGGAATAACTATGCGTCATACATTTCTCTTCGATCATCTTTTGGTGCTTTGTAAAACATTACGCTCTTCAAGGCCAGAGAAGCCACTTTATAAATTTAAGGATAAAGTGCTTATACGTAAAACTGATATATTCGATCTAAAAGATACTGAAGGTTAGTGATTGGTACTTTTATTTCTTTTCTACTTTAAGTAAGGTATCACTAGCATTAGCCTAAATGTTATTAGCTGAATAATATCTGTATTGTAATTGATTTCATTTTTGCCTGGTCCAGTCATCTATTGCAGAATTTCAAAATGCCTTTAAAATTGTATCGCGATCGATAACTCATGAACGAGGAGACAACACTTCCTGGATTTTGCTTTGTCGAACACCGGAAGAGAAAACTAGTTGGATGTGTGATTTAGTCAAAATTCAGGCGAAAAGGTATAGAACTCTTCGATTTGTCTACATTCACTTACAATAAAATTTAAAATTTTCGATTTCTTCTTTTTTCTTAGGTTTCTTCTTTTCCGTGCCTTTTAGTTCATTAGATCGAATGTTGGACGCATCGTTGAAAGAAGAAGAAAAACGAGTTCCACTAATTTTGCCGACATCTGACCAGTATAGGTATAATTTTACATTTCCATTGATATTCTTACTTACAAATATTCTGTGACATTTATTGCTATAATAATGCATTTAGACTCTTTTTGAATTCTTTCAATTAAAATTCCAGGTTCGCTGATCAAGACTGCGATGAAAATATTGTGTTTGAAGATTATACATCAAGTAGTGGGATACCAGTCGTTAAGCATGGAACTGTTCTAAAACTTGTTGAACGCTTAACTTATCACTTGTAAGTTCTAAATCGTTTTTACTGACAGTTGATGACAAATTTGTGAATTGTACGGATACTTTTGATAACTTTTAAGTCTTTTCTACAGTGTTTAAAGCCAAGAATAAAGTTGTCCTGTATTAATCATCCACTTTTCATCGCCCATTTTTTAGATACACGGATTATAATTATGTGCGTACTTTCCTGACCACTTATCACTCATTTTGCACATCCTCAGAATTGTTGCAGTTGCTCATTGAACGTTTTCAAGTACCTATTCCGCCACAACTCCAAATAGCTGAAGCGAATAGTATATCTAGTTTGGAGCCACGGTAAAATCAGCGAAATTTTGTTAATTTACACTTCGAAATCTATGGAAATGCAATTTAGGATTGGAATAGATGCGTTTTTTCTAAAATAAAGTGTACAAAAAGGAGAGTTCGTTGCATTGTTTTAGTGAGCTTTTAAATGGTCCTTGTGCCGCAGCACATTCTCAAGGTCTGAGGATCCAAGTTTCTCCGACAGTGCTAAATAGAATTGAGCGAAGTTATCAGCGATTTCGCAAAGAATATCAGCAACCAATACAGTGCAGGTACTTTTCCAGTATTTTCCTTATATCATTAATTATTTTTACTCTGGGGTTTCTTTTTAACGATGATAGATTCAGCAGAAGAGTGAATAATAAGTATTGGAACCTTATAAACTTTTCCAGATGAATAAAAACTTTTTAGTAGTCTGGAAAAGTTTCTCTCATAACAATTTTTTACACAGAGTACTAAGTGTGATTCGACAGTGGGTCAATAACCACTGGTATGATTTCGAGCATAATCCCGTTTTGTTGCAAAACTTATGTTCGTTTTTGGAAGAAACTGATTCTCATGGAAAAGTTATCAATCAGTACAAGAAATGGTGTAAGAGCATTAAGGTAACAAATTTCTTGTTTATAATTCATATCCTTTTTATTTATAATTTAATTTTGCACAACGTTATTATTTTTATAGTTTCATTATCAAAAATATAAGTGGACAATTGAACTTTGTCATATTTATACACTTTATCACGGCTACTCCGTACCACTTTTGTCCTTTTTTCAAAAAATTCTTTCATCGTCTTTTTTTTTTTTTTTTTCATACTTGTATCGAAAGGAAGAAACGAGTTGATATAATACCGTCGGCGACACATAGTGGTTTAGAAAGTGAACCTTCCCCAGTGGCAACCACTTCGTATGGTCCACAGAAACCGAAGGTAAGATAATATACGTTAGTTGTTATATGGATTAAAAATTTCCAAAACTTTCGAATCTTGTTAAACACAGGGAGCTTGCTACGTGCTTCGTGATAAAATGATTAGAAGTTTGATTTTCGTTTCATATATATGGATACAGCATGTAAAACCAATCAAAGAATTCAGTTAAAAGTTCTATCTTCGTTTCTTTGTTTTAGTTATAGCATTTAATTTGAATAGGTATTTTTAGATTTTGTGGCATATTGCCGAGAAAGGAGCCATCGAAACGTACGATCTCTTGTCATTACATCCAATTGAAATTGGTCGACAGATAACCCTGTTACAATTTGACCTTTATAAAGCTATTAAACCCATCGAATTGGTTGGTTCAGCATGGACGAAAAGGGATAAAGATCTTAGAAGTCCACAATTGCTTAAGCTCATCGATCATAGTACTATGGTTTGTTAATATTTCGCTTAAATATTTATAATCCTGCTTTAGTATAAATCATTCAAGGGGGAAGTGCTTCTTTTTGCTAGTAAACTTTTCTTATTAGTATTTCTAACACGTATTAAATGATATCTTGATAAGTATTATAGACCTTTGTTGTACGTTCCGTTAATTTAACTTTTTCAAGTTAACTTATTGGGTTGCTCGCTCTATTGTGGAAACTTGTTCATTGGACGAGCGAGTATATATGTTCTCACGAGTGCTAGAAATAATGTCCGTTTTCGAAGAACTCAACAATTTCACTGGACTCGTTGCTTTATATTCTGCTCTGAATAGTAGCTCTGTATATCGGCTTAAGGCATGTTGGGAGGTATTTTTTGCTCATATTTGCTTTTCTGTTTTTTGTTGTTTGTGCCATTTATTTATGTCATTTATTAAATTTAAAACTTTTGCACTGAGTTCATAATCATTTTGTATTTGGTTCATAATGATAAGCTTGAAGAGAATTGATCGGGAAAAGCAAGTATGGTATGAAAAATTCAAGAAACTGTGCAATCCGCACTGGAAAGAAATGATTGAACGATTGAAAAGTATAAATCCGCCTTGTGTCCCATTTTTTGGTTAGTTTTGATAAGTACTATACAAATAGAGGCGTGAATAACACTTAATTTCAATGATATCTATTTAGAAAAAAACTGAATTTCATTGGGATATGTTTTATAATATTCAAGAATTTGTTTTGTTTTCATTAGCACGATCGATTTTCTTCGCAGTTTAGGCAGACCTTAATTGGCTGCACCAGTATAATTACGATATCTTAAAACGAATCTGGAAATTATATTGGATTGTATCATTATGTTTATGCGAAATCTTTAAGGTCATTATCTTTCCAAAATCTTTTTTTACGAGGAAGGGAACAGTACATTTGTACAGAGCGAAGATCTCACTCATGAGCAGGTTTTTTTTTTTTTAAACTTGAATGGTGTTTTTATAATTATCCATCTGTGTTATTGTGTTACAAACTAAATTCATATTAAGCTCTCGGTACTCACAAGGACTGAAATACCGGAAGTGCTTTTAAACGATCAAAACATACACCAATTTAGATATTGATTTCTGTTTCAGGCAGAGGCATTTAGATTGGTGATAAATTTGACACATTTTTAATAGCTTTTACTTGGCTTTGAAAATGAGGACTTAAGTACGTACACTTTTGTTATGTAAACTGCTATTATATGCTTAACTTTTAATATGTTTCACAGTTTATTCACTCCATTTAAGCAGTTCCGTAGATTAGTATTCACTTTTATTTGACTTTTACTCAATAGCAGTCTTATCCTACCTTGTGCTTTCTGAAGTGATTTCTTTAAATTTAAAGTTCGATCTTATTATGTTTAAAGTTATGTGACAGTTTACTGGTGATAAATCTATACATTATATTTAAGATTAGTGCTGATGGTAACACATCAGTTGTGGGTGCAACAGGTCGTAAAGTAATGGTGTCTTTTGTGAAATGTCGTCGGATAGCATCAATTATCAGTGATATCCAAATGTATCAGAATGAATCGTATGCATTGGAAGTGGAGCCAAGCATAAGGGTAAGTAACTTAAGAGAATTTATAAATCTGATGATGAATTTTATAAGTTGGATTAAATTCTTCTGACGTCAAATACATATGTTCACTTTTTCGCTTTTTTGTCATCCATCTAAAATATTATTCATATCTCTCTTATATTTGTTTCTTTTTGTAAATTCCACTAATTTCTGTTTTATTGGTTGTTATGTTCTGTTATATGTTAAAAGCTGCATAAATACGATAGTTAAAAATTATATAGAAATTCTGGAAGAAATTTTTCCATCATTGGTATGTTCGGCTTCCTCGCGCCTTTCTTTTTTCTTTTCGAACATCTTTTTATATGCAATGATTCTTTTATTATTCCAGTGATTTTTTTTCTGTCGGAAAATCTTATTTCATATTCTTTATTCGGAAAACTTTTAAAAAACATGTCTAGTTGTTTGATCGACTTGACGAAGATATCTGGGAAAATTGTTTATTACTATTGAGACTGCTAATATGTGAGTTTGCTTTCGCTAAAATACTTTCTGCATTTTATTTGAGAATATGAAAGTAAATCAACGATTTTACGGTGATTTCTGCAAGAGAATTGCAACGGAAGTTAAAGGAAAAAACAACTAGCTACATTAATAACAGGAAGAGGCGGAGTAAAGAGTTTTTGTTTGTAACAGATAGCCGGAAGTTCAAATTTTGGAGAATAAGAGGACAAGGTGGGAAGGGAACAAAATATGTTTATCTTATTTGTTCTCTCCAAAAACATCTATTCATTTTCGCTATTCAGTGGTGTTACTGAACATGTTCATTTGGACTGTTGCTTAATGTGCGGAAATCCTGAAGTTTTCCCAGATTATCGTGGTCTTTTTGCATTTTGTCCTCTTTGGTTTACTTTCTCTCTCTCTCTCTCTCTCTCTCTCTCTCTCTCTCTCTCTCTCTCTCTCGTTTTCAAAGATGAGATCGAGTTTTCCTGACTTGAGCGCTATGACCTCTCAGATTGTTTGTTCTGAGATAATTGTGATAGACATAGTGACTGCTGAAGGTATCAGTTACTGCCAACGCGGATTTAAACGAATCAATTGAACCAGTAGCAGTTGTGGTAGGAAGCGCCCTCTGAGGCGGGCAACTGCAAACAGTAAAAAATGATTAGTGTCTCTTTGTGTATCCGGAGAAACATTTAGCTGTTTGCTGGTTAATTCTTCTTTCATTTCATCATTTGGCAGTGATCTGTAGACGGCATGGAGAAAGATTGGCTACGATATGTAGAAGATAGAGAGATGCAGAGAGGGATGTATATTTGTGTAATCAATGGTTAGAGGGCTTGTGCTGAAGAGAGACAGATGATTGTGATTAATTTCGGATTTGATAGTTTCTATTGATGGCCTGTCTTCGTTTTGTATCTGCCCTGCAATCAGAGACAGGTTGGACAAGATTTTCCTCTTTTCAAAGTTTTTTTAACAAACAGTCGAAATAACTTCTTGTTCGCAAAGTTTTAGCGTTGTTGTCTTCATCATTCATTCCCCATCAAAATAGTGATAAATGGGACATGTTCTTTTTGATGTGAATTTTACCTATTTAGAACTTTTTTTTGGTTGGAAAATGGAAGAGCCTCATTGTGCTGAAGTGGAGCTCTGAGGAAATCACCGTCAAAATTTAGGGATACTGAAAATTTCTCCCAGTTAAAAACTACTGATAAAATCTTTGCTTTCAAAAGTAAAAAAGTTTTAAGAATATCTGGATAGTAGTTTCTTTTAGCAATTTACATTTTCTTATCTATCATTGCTAGATACAAACTCATAAGATTGTGTACTTTACTTTAACTTTAAAATAATTTGCCATCCAAAATTCATATGTTACTTTGGAGACTCCAATATCGATCCATCATTTAACATTCTAATGAAACATTCTGTATTTGATTAATCTGTTTGCTCTGGCAAGTTGTGTATTAATGCAACGCTTAGTGAAACTTCTTTTTGAATTGTTTCTCATTTAAAATGCCTAGAAAATGTTTTTTTTTTTTTTTGAAAAAAATGATTTGTTACTATTTAGTTGAAGTAATTGAGTGACTTATTTGTCTTTATTTTAATCTCTATTTCAATATCTGAACTAGTTACAAAGGTTGTATCATTCTTGTTTCAGATTTTTCCTCGCGTTATTGAACTTAGAAACATAAGCAGGCTTTGAATTGGTTCAGGAATTCAGCCATTGAAAAGAAGGGTTGTACCCAAAATCCTCCTCCATATATTCTCATTTCATAACACATTGATAAATATTATGTATATAACAAATCATTTTAAAATGAACTGGAAGTTCTTTGTTTCTGTTCATTTAAATATTAGTTTTTATTTAATCTCAGCTACCTGAGATTTAACTTATTTTGTGTTTTTTGGTTTTCCCTTTTCATTTTAGATGTAGCATTTTAGATAAACAATCTTACAAATTATTTTGTAAAACGTGCCACCAGTAAACAAATCGGTTTATTGTGAGGAATTTGTTAGATCTTTTACTATGATGTCGAAGTCAATCAGATTTAGACTGTTCTTATCTATGGGATCTGGTGGTTTCGTGGGATGACGTAGATATCCTGTTGTGAGACGTAATGATGGTATTGTTTTCAGTGTCGAAAGGTCCTGTCACCTTTCAACTCTTATCACAAAATGTGTATGTGTGTTAGCGTTAGTATATGTATGTATTTGTATTAGTGTCAGTTATGCATGGGTGTGATTGATTTGGACATTCCGTTTATATGACGACCCACTGTTGTCCATTCCTCTGATCCTCTCATTATTTTCTACTTTCACCACCCTCATCCCTCATTCTTTTGAATGCTATAAAAGGACCAGAACTCTTTTTTCCCCGTTCGAGTTTTTCTTTTAATGTTTCGACCAGAACCTAGGAATTTCAGTATTGTGCGATTTTACATCTTTCGTTTACTGCGTAATATTTCCTCTTTCCATCTGTTTGCCCATTTAATAATATAAACTTCATGTGCGTTTTGCCTTTTTGTTCAGAAGTTTCTTATATCAGAATTTTTGGAACTAATTTGAAGGGTTTGTACTGAACGATAGCTCTATTCTTTCACGTCACTACCTTCAGCTAGAAAAATGATGGATAGTTTTGATTTTAGCGATAAGCAAATTTCTCAATTTCAATATAATCCAGTTTCTATTCTTGTGCTGATGACAGTTCTATTTAGAGTGCTGATGACAATTCAAGTTGAATAACGATAATTTCTCATTTTGACTTCTTTCTTTCCTTTTAATGTTTTGTATTTATGGTCGGCCAGCCTGTATTAAAATTTTCCAAAAAACTTTTAACAAACTGCTGCATTCATTCTGCCCTTGAAAACTTCTGTTCCAGTGTTTCCCACTGAAAAGATTCGGTATATCTCCGCCTCAAAGTTTTTGGATATAGGATTTTGATGTTAAGTGTTTATTCATGTTCATTCGCGTTGTAGCGTTTTTTTTTTCTTCATTGTTATGAATGAAATAACAGAATGTTAATGTTATTGTATTGTGAAGAGATGGTACTAACTGATTATTGCGAAACAACACCGCTTATTGCTGATAAATGTGTGATGAGCAGACGGAAGCGATGGTTTTGTCAAACTAAGGTGAGCAGTATTCAACTTTTTTTCTGGTGATGAGTGATAGGGCGAGCATAAGAATACCTTGTTGATTTACCCAATTTCTGGGATTCAGAATAATAGTATTGTTTCAAAGTTCTTGGTTTTTAGTAAGCTTCAAAAAGAAAGGACTTTTTGCGTTCTCATATGACTTCACTGTTTTCTCTTTTTTGAGGCTAAATATAACGGTTCAAATTGTTGGCCTGTTGTGATTTATTAAAATCAAGGATAAAAGTGATTTTTTTGAAAAAAAGAATAGCAAAGGAAAAGGGAGATATTGCTATTTGGTTTGTTATTGCTGTTGAAACAAGACATGTTAATTTATCACTTCTTATTCACATCGGAAGTTTTTTCTGTTTTTTTAAATTATTTTTATGACACGATAATTCAGCTTTCCTTGACATGGTTCATCCTAATGTCTTTGTTCAGTTATGTAGTGCTTATATGTCTATAAAATTAAATGATTGACAGTCATTTTTTGAGTTGGGTCTAGTAAACAGTGACACAAATAACATTACTAAATTTCTGAAATTTTTGATCTAATTGGTTTATCTGAATATTGAATCCTTTTTCTTATTTCATAAAGAACTGCACCTGCTTGAAAACAATTTTTTTCTTTTCTGTTTTTCCTAAATAGACCTTAGCACTCAGTTTTTTTTTTTTTTTTTTTTTTTATCATTATAAAGAAGGACTGTTGAGTCTTAATTTTTATGTTGTCAGAAAAAAATGGTAACAAGAGGTTCTGACAGCAATAATTACGGTTTAGTCTATATATGTTTTCCATTCCCTCTATGTTGTTGTCTTGTCTATGATATTTAGGTCGTTTAGTTCTATTGAATGTTTATCTGGTCTGATGACTGAATTACTTGAACTTCATATGTATAATCCTGAAATATCACTAAATTTTTTGTTCACAATTTTCCAATGTTGTTTTCTATTCAATATTAACACATTAACATCACCACGTAAGTTCCCTTGAATAGTTGTAAATAGATTGAGAATAAGTTATCCATTCTGACGCGAATCGTTTTATTCTGATTGAGAAGGAAATGATATGGTGATTTCCTTTTGTAGATCTTGAAAGTTGTTAATTTTCGAAACATTTTATGATGTTCCATTGATAGATTAATTACCTTAATTAATTTGTACTCTATGATTTCCGGTAAGAAATATTGGTCGGTCTGTGGTCTTTCCATTCTTATAAATAAGAAAATTTTTGAGTGTAATGGAACATTGCAACTAAACAGTGATGAGCACTATTCTAAATCATACTATTTTCCTCTCAACTGTCGATGACAATTGAAGGAGTAAGTAGATGAACCTGAATGCTTGCTTCAACGGATGACCTTATCATTCTTCTGAAGGTCGTTCCCAAAGTGTAATTACATTATCGTTTTGGTAGGATCTGGGAAAGTTTATAGTTAAATTGTTTTTGTTGCGTGAGGAGAAAGTAATGCTTTCAACATATTTTCTTCTTTCCCTAAAATAATTCCTACGGAAAGTTACTTTCATCTGTGGAGTAACAACCGACTGTTTCATATTTATGATACGTTTATGTGATTTTAATTGTTTTAAGCATCTCTTAAGTCTTGTTTTGATGGATCCTATTTCTATTGTGAAGAAGCAGAAAGAGAGATTTAGATATTCAGTATGAATCTTCTCACTGCATCCTATTGCTGATTGCTTCGTTGAGCTGTCAGTTTGCTTCACTAGAGCTGGAAGTTAAAGTCATCATCGGTGGATGAGATAGAATGAAGAGAAGAGACTTGTGATATACATTGTATAATAACGGGAGAATATTTCTCAATAAAATTTCTTTCATAATATGGGTGCTTTAATTAGTCGAGCAAATATGAAGTAAAAGAGTTCCGGATAATTCTGTGAATCGTATTTGATCTTTACCCTCTATGAATCTTTACCTAAATTTGAGTTCAATTAGTGATAAGCACACTTTTTTTTATTTTTACAATGAATAAGAGAAATATTGATGCTGCAACTATGAATCAGATTTAAATGGTTATATGTTTGAAACAATAAGAGCTAACATAATCTTGACTGGCATACTATAATAAGTAGATGAAATAATGAAAAGCTGTTTTTTATTTTCACTCTATTGTTCTTTGATGCTAGTACATATTGCAGTTGTGAAGATATTATAGAAAGTATAAAAATCTGCAAAGAACAATATATTGGTAATGAAGATTTTATCAAGCATAAAATATTAGGACTAAGCATCAAAAATTTATATTTATATAGAGAAAAAATAAGATAATGATGAGATGGTTTGCCATCTTTCTAAGTATGGGACGATGGTGCAGAAAAGATATTTTGAAAGCATTTTCAAAGTTAGCAATCAAAGAATCAATGATTTTATTGATTGAGCTTTCGATCATTCATTTCTCTTTGTCGATTTCAAAAGATTCATTCTGAGTCATTCGATACCGGAATTTCCTTTTCCAGTCTTTTTTCGAGTTTCGTTTTGCTTTTGCCTATGGAATGTGCTGATCTGGAACTGAATTATTAGTGAAGAATAAATTTATACTAACGATTTATGAGAACATTAAGCGGTTAAAAGGACACACTGTACATTCCATATTCCCGGTAGGAAAATTGCAAGTACAGAAAGTATGTTCTTTCTTTTGCCTCGTAAATCATTTCTAGTGCTTTTTTTTCTGTTGTTTCATTTAATCGTTATTATAACAACCAATGATTCAAGCAGTCAAAGAATACCTCTAACTTGGAATATGTAATCATTTCGTGTTTGCTTCACTTTGTCAGAAATAATCATTATTATGGGCTAGCTTAGTAACTTTTGATTGCTTGAATCATTGGCTGATTTTATTTATATACAAAAACAGTTGCCTTTTGGACTTGATTCCACTTCTAGTTCTATTAGCCTCATGCTCTTTACTACCTAAGCATTTTAAAATTCCAGATGTTTTTTAATTTTTGAAGATAGTATGTGCTCATTTTCCTATGCTAAAATTCCAGTTCGGGAGATATGAGTAGCACTCTCACCATATATATATTATCCCCTCTAACCACTTCGTGTTGCATCACTTTACATTGTGAGTACTTTTCTTGTCCTTTTTGAAAGATTATTTCCTGCTTTCCTGTAATATATATCGCACACTTATCTCCAGGCCTGTAACATTAATATTATTGTGCAATATGATGATGTTTTGTCTATATTCACACAGTTAGTTGGATGATAAGTAGTTAATTGCGGAAGTCATCGCTTGAAGTGATCTGCGGCCGAAATCGAACATCATTACCGTAGCAGCATCTGGAGCGGAACCGCATTATTTCCCTTCCGTTTCATTAGCTCAGTTTCCTTAGTAAAAATGCCAGCCAACGATTTTTGTTGTGTTGTCTCACTTTTGAAAATCTTCTAGAATCGCTACCTAGCTGCTACTCTCTTATCTGCAGATTCACATTTTCAGAGCGGCGATTCACTTCTCCCTTTTCTCTCCTTGCTCACTCGACCTTAAAGTTTTCATCCATTTTACAGTGATATGCCTCCATTGGTGTTGATTTCAATGAACGACTTCCGGTTAAACAAACAGATATCAGTGATTGTAGTCCTGCTCCTGCTCTTACTCTTATGCAGACTTTCACAAGGTCTCTAATGCATTTTCTAAACTATTCCCTTCTTTCACAACGATACCTAATCTTTTGTTTCATTTCCACATAACCCTCTGTAGCTATGTGTATGATGTAGTAGTAGGTAGCACTTATATTGTTTTATCCGATTTTTCTGTGATTAACCTGTCTGATTCGTGAACATTTGTTATAGTTTTGGATTCTTCTGAAGTTTATTCTACCATTTTTGAAAAGATAATTTTAATCAGTAGATAGTGAATTTAAAACAATTGCCAAGAATTTCATTAATTCAGAATTTGAAGACTTATCTAGATTTCTGTGAATATGAAATTTTGGAATTACCTATTATGATGAAATGTTTAACCTCTCTTGCGATTTGGCCTGAATTAAAAATTAAATTTGCATCCTAGTCCTTGTTATTGTTTAAGGATACACGAGTTACACTTAATTAGTAGTTTGGAGTCCTTTAATTAAAAACCACTTAATAAATTCTTAGTTGATTCATAAGAGCGTCATCCATCCGTCACATATTTGCGAACGTATTTACCCATAAGTAATTCTTCAATTACTAGTATTTAGTGCATACCATATTATCATATTTCTGATATAATATGACTGACAAACAGCATTGTTTGCATCATGCTTTCATATACTTTGTGCTCCTGCTGCTCTAGATCATTTTCTGCAACATCATCTGTTTCTTCGTCTTATGATCTGGGAAATGTCTTATCCGCAGTCAGTTTCATTTAACTAATTGTTTCTTGCTCTTTATCTAATTATTTTAATTCTTTAATGCACCTTATTTCCAGAAGAAATTTGTTACTATATTTTATATGCAACTTTTCCGCATGTTGTCTTCAGCAATTTGGTTACTCTACCTCTTTTTATCTGTATGCGTTACATCAGTAAAAATACTTCTTTTCCCATCATCCTTCTTATTGTTTTCGTATGATCTCAGACTTTATGTGATGATTGTACGTCTTATTTCACCTGGAAGTCCAGAAAAATATCTAGAAAATACTGACTGGAATTAACACTTGTTTTTTGGATGTGATTTTGAAGTAGCTAGAATTATTTCTGTCCTTTGAAGTGGTAAGTTTGATTTAGCTGTGTACTGTTTATTTTATATACTATTATGTCCTGTAAGATAGGGTTTTTCTACATTTTCAGTTACAGTTGTTTATTTTGAAATTTCAGCATTTTTTTGAGACCATCAATCCGCTGAACGGTTTTGATGGGAAGGAATCCTTGGAGACATATATGTGGGAACAATCACTGAAGGTGGAACCAAAGGACCCCGATAAAATGGAATTTGTCGTACGTTTCCTTTTGTTATTTAATGTGGCTTCTAAAGCGTAATTTTGTGTTTTTAAATTTAGAATGTAATGTTGAAGATACATATTGTGTACAGAAATAACTTTTTGGGTTTTGGGGAATTATTTCTATTATGCTTTCTTTTTGTATTCCTTTCGCTTTATTTATGTATAATATGTATTTGTGTCAGTTGATTAAAGGTGATAAAATGCAGAAAAGGTACAAAGCCAAACCTAAATATTCTCCAGTTTTTAACCATTCCCTCTTCATTCCTTTCCACGAATGTGTTTTCAAAACCATTTCAATAGAAAGTTTGTTAATTTCAAAAAATTTGCATTCTATTCTAGTTGTTTATCTTTTTGCATATCTTATTTAGACCCTAAAAGTGTTAGGAAGCAGTTGCCAATTGAAAAGAGAAATTAAAGATTCATATAAAGGCTTAGAAAAACGTTTTATTTGTTAAATTTCTCCGGAAACTAGTGGAATTAAATTGAGCAAAACTCATTTATGCTATTTGACAAGTTGTGAACAACTTGTAAAGCTGGTTTCTTCTACAAAAATTGTCGAATTCACCCTTGTAATGTTGACTATTAATTTTTTGAGAGTTATTTTTGATAAATCTGAAGCAGTTATTCTCTTCTGAAGTGAACACATGTTGAAAGGATCTAAAATGGATCTGTAGACAGGTGGATTACATTGTAGCAATGTTCAGGTAGTTGTAGTGAATGTTATTCTTCTGATTAGTTAGCATAATTTGATTCTTCTGCCAACTATTGTACATTTCGTTGGTTATCTTCAGTTCCATCTTAAACATTTTTCGTTATTTATTGTAACAGCTATCGTTTACAGAAACCATCCAGACCAGCTTATGTGCTGAAATCACCAGGCATCAAGCCACCCAAATCAATCTCATTAGCACCATCAACTAGTGGTCCGTCGAACCATTACTCAGGACATCGTGCTAGTGGACGAGGTTTCTCGGCACTTAACAATTACAGTCCGAACATATCTCACTCATCGGATGTGTGAGTTTTTAATATCGCAGCTTTTTGATACATCATTTTATTAGGATGACTTCGATAATAAGTCGTACAGTATCAATTGATCAAATATAAATCGTCTGATGAACATGTGTTCGTAAAGTATCATATAGAATTCATTAGTTGTTTGGAAATAACATTGATTGGTTTTGTTGAAAAGATTGATCACAATCTGGTTTCACTGCTTAATTTTTACGTCGTCTTGTTTTAGATTAGGTTCTAGTTAGTGGTCGTTAATTGAGACTTTAGGTGCTCTGTTCTGTACGAACGTAATATATTACCTTGTATTTGCAGACGCGATCTTAAAATTAAATTATTTTGATTTTTGAAGAGAGCAACAAAAAAAAAAAAATAGAAGTGTTTCGCTTCACTGCTTAGCTAGAAACTACAATAAAGATTAAGTTGTATTTGAAACCACTAGGGTCATGTCATCCACGTTATCTGAGGAAAATTTGTAAATTGGTTTCTGTATTTATTTCAAAAATTGTGACAGTAACTTTTCAAATAGGAATATTAGATTGTTGTAATTTTTTTTGGATCATTTGATGTTAGCTAGCACTGTAGATTCCTTCTGATTAGATACTGGTTTAACATTATATGCTTCCTATTTTTTTTCAAAATGAATGCATTCATTTACTTATTTTAAAAATAAAATTGTTGCTGCAGTGCTGAAGAAAAGCAATTATTTGGATTGGAATTTTTCCTCGTGCTGTTTTGGTATTGATCTACTTGGTAGTCGGAAACTGAATTCTATCATTTGAACTACATCTTTTTGAAATTAATCATTCCAGTAACTGTTGCAGATCAGTCTTTTTACATATATGCTTCTTCAGGTCACGTCCCAATTTGTTATCAAATTTCGAGGACCGAAATTCTTACCTTGGAATGGTTGAAATCACTCCAGGTTAATCTGATTCTTACGTTTACTGTCTGCTCACTATGTGACAGAATAAGATGACTTTGCTCTCTCCTAAAAATGAAGTGGTCACTGCTTTTTGAATGAATTTCTAAAATTGCTGATACTGAAGCTGAAATTTCCAGCTTCATATATTGAAATATTTGTATCTCTAGGCCAGCAACCGCGATATCTTGGTGACGCAAAACGTGGTACACAATCAACAGTTGCTTCACCAACTGAACCGCGGATTCCGCCAATAATGCCAAGGGCTAAACATCGAAACGATAAAGCATCGTCGACACCACCAAGTCCTCGTTCATCACAAAATGGACATTTTACTACTCCGTCACCACCTCCTCTCTATCCACGAAAATTGTCAACCCAGGAACAGCTGGCCCCACCACCACCTCTAAAAGTTTTGACTCATGGAGTTCCAGATTTGAATGGTCCTGTTCCTCCTCATTCTGCTCCTTTTTGCGCTACTCCAGGTTCGATCATTTCAATGAATGTATTTAATTATCCTTTACTTTTGAACACTTTATCATATATCACAGTATATTATGAAACAGAGCTGTCTTGATTTCAGAAAGCTTCAAACATATTTTGATACCTGGACATGAATGACTTGAAGGATAATATATCGGAATTTATTGATATAATTTGATATCGCACCCTTTGTATTGCTGAAAAATTTCCTCATATTCACTTACTGTAATTAGTTGTGATATTCCGGAACTTTCAGATTCATTCGTTTTTCCTCCGTATGGAGGGAATGCAATATCCCGAACAATAGCACCTTTGGAAAGCACCTCTCCTGTATCACAAACAACAGGCATAATTCCAACAGTACCACCGAGGAAAAAAGTTGAACAGCTGCCATCCCCATTGTTTGGTGATGCTGTGCACGTCGTCTGGAATAAGTTAGAGTTAATTTCTCAAATCTTTGTAAATCAGATCACAAATTTGTGAAAATGAAAGTGTAAATCTCTGCTGCTGTTGACGGTTTTTAGGGAAGCGAAATCAGCAGTGTGCGATGCAGATGATACCATATCACCACCTTCATCATCGCAAAATTCAATTCAAAATAGTGCTGCTACAGCACCGAAGCTGTATCCACGAGGAGCTTGTCCAGCAGAACCACCTCCAAGGCCACCAAAATTGTGAATTGTTTTTACGTATCTTAATAAATGATAGTACTATAATGATCATTCTTTATATGTAGGTATTTGCATGTTTGAGACCAGTAACATATAACTAGTGTATTTCAGATTTTACAACAAGAAGCCGCAAGAATTGTGTGGTGAAAAAGTGCTTAAAGAAACAAATGATTTCGATTCACCTCCTCCGTTACCACCAAAAACTTACAAACGAAGGCAACAACATAATCGCTTACAGTAGTTTAAGGCAGGCTTAGAATTTTCGTGTAGAATATTTATTGAATTATTGCGTATAGTTTAAAGATCCCATTCTAAAGCAGTTAGTTTTGAAGTAGTTTTGAATTAATATTGTCGCCGTTCTGATCCGAATCTATACAGCAAATTTATGTGTTGTTGCTTACTGACGGCAATATTTTACACCATTTGTAAATAATTGTACTGACTTTCTTTTATTTACATAATTAGCCTGCGGTATCTTTGCCTTTTCCTAAGATAATCCCATGGCAATAGTGTGTTCAGTAATGGTTAAAATAATGATTTAGTAATGACATTTTAAAGAACGTCTTTATTTTTTTCCAGTTAAAAAGAAAGCGGAACATTTGTTCTGAGATTGGTTTGCATTAACACACAAAAAAATTTAACTGCTTTGAATGGAATTTATTTCAAAACTGATTTTCTTCTCATTCTGGACTTTTGTTGCAGAAATTGTACTGTTCTTACTGTTCTGCTAGCTGTACTATTCAGCTGTGCAAAGTAGTACCTTCACTGCTATTATTTCTTTAGTTCATAACGGGTCTTTTTTGTTAATCAATAATTCGATTAATCAAGTGCCTAAACTTCTACAGCCTTGTGTACTCAGAATATAATCTGAGCATCCACTTCGCTTTGCCATACTTTTCCTTTATTTCTGTTGTTGAACTTAATTTATTTATATTTTATTAATATGGTTTCATGAAATTATCTGGTAACTATTAGTGATTATTTTTCGATTATTGGAAGTTCTTTTCAACTTTTAAGAAGTGAAAGTTCAAGGTCAAAATTTTTCCTAAAACTAAGATTCTGAAATTGTTTTAAATATAATGTTTAATTTACTTCGAATTTCAGCGATTGTGCCATATTACTATAGTGGTTGTTGTTTTTTGCGTCTTAAATTGAAACTGTGATACTTTCTGAAATTCTCCACTTTGTTTTGTACATGTGTTATGCCGAATCTCATAGCACTGTTTGCCTATGTTTAAATTTTTTCAAAATTTCGCTCAGTTCGTTATTGTCCAGAAAATGACGATTCGTCCTCACTCATACTTTTTCATGTGTTTCTCTACTTTTTTAAAATCATTTGATTTGATGTTGTAAAGTTCATTGTCTGTTATCTACAGAATTAGTAAATAAATATGAATTTCAAATCCAGTTTGATCAGATTTGTATTTTACAATTAAGACTTGTGGAAACTTTTTAAGAGTTTACATTTTTTGAAGAGTATTCATTTTTTTTTTTTTTTTTTGAAGTAATCACTTTTGTAGCAAACAGTGAAAAATACTGCTTGTGGGTTTGCTGATTTGCTGCAAGTTTTGCCTCATGGATAGCTCTATAAAGATCAAGTGATAAGGTAAGGGCAGTTTATAAGATTTCGATGATAAAGCATGAAGTTTTGGTCGCCGATTTCGAGTTGACAGTCAAACAGACTGCTATGTTTTCAAAACACTTTGTTGCTTGGATTGGATTGTGATGGTTATTGAATTACTGGTGTCGGTATTAAGATCTATCTGTTTTCTGCTCTCATTACTGATTCATAGAACGTGGAAGTCACAGTCTATTTCAAGCAAATGTTGTGGATGACGTCACCATGGTAATACTGTTTTTGTTAAGTATAAGGACAGACCAGTTTTGTTTTAGTGAAGAATGAAAAACCAAATTGTCAGTAAGGTAATGATTGGTTAATTGTACGTCTTTCACGTGAAAATTGCATGACATTCACTGCATCATCAATAACTCCTTGAATTTGAGGAATCCTAACAAACCAGATTTTGACTATTAATCTTCCCTGTAATGATACAGCGCGGAAGTCATTATTTGTTTCGAAATTTATCAAAAATTTTCTAAATGGAAATAAATCCATGTAGAATTTAAGCTAACTGGATTAGAAATGAGGCAGATGATGATTACAAATGTTTTAGATGTCTTTTGTCTTGGATAGAAGAATTGCTAATGGAAGGAAAATTAGGAATGATTCATGGATCACTGTTTTTAATGAACAATTTCATTGGCTCATTTCTTTACGAGACAAATTTAACTAATTTCTTTTTTCTTTTCTTAACCTCATTTTATTACACGTGTACAACTGATGCAAGTGTGGAATAACAATTTCAATGAAGTTTTTTTATGCTATTTTTTTGAATTTCAATAAATTATTTAGCAAGATTTGCTATGAATTCGAATTCATCAAATTAGTATGCATTCTAACTTAAAGTTAAAGTGTTAACTTAAAGTGAAATTATTATCATTTTACTAGAGTTAACTTCTCATCGACAACATTGATATACGTATGAACTGTACGGGTATTGCATTATATTACATCGGGTCGATGATCAATGCATAGTTCCTCTGTCGTGAAGAAAAGTGCCACCATTTATCTGTTGTTGTACAATCAACCTGCGATGTTGTCGTTTCTTTTCTTAAAAAGAGAGAGAGAGAGAGAGGAAAAGAGAGTGCAGTAGTATGTATTATTTAATCTTTAACTCTGTCAACAAATTGCTTTAAACTTTTTCCAGCAATTCAAATTCACTAAGCTTTATAAGATTAATTTTTTTATACATATCAACCATTGTGATAAGCATTTCAGATATGGAATCTGAAACATCGTTAACTGAAAAGGAAATGAACTCACATTACTCTCATATTTTTTTAGGAATAATTAGCTTTGAAAGAATGAAAATGGGAAAGATAGTAAATAATAAATTGAAATGACAGCATTTATAAGGAAGCAATGCTCGAAGGTATATTGTTATTACTTGTAATGTAAGGGAAGGTCCCATATACTTTGTAGCTTCATGTATTCCTCAACAATAACAGAATACTGTCAAAGGTTACGCTGTCACACTTATAACTTGCGCAATCTGTTTGTGCATTTAATGTGTCGTATAGTTTGGATATGGATAAAAGCAGTTCAAATCCCTTTATCAAATTTTCATGTCGTCAAGCAGAAGAATAAATCAAAAGTTTGTTGAGTCATTTTCCCGAAAGAAAAAGAGAAGATGTGGGAAAGTAACTTAGAGAGAACAGTAATGGACGGAGATTTTGTGTCTTACACCTATGCACCAACGTTTTGTGTATCGCACGCCGTATTCACGTGCGGTAACTGTGCTAATGATTGTATTCATAATATTAATAATAATAACAGGAGAGTGCGCATTTGCAAATGGCGTCAAACTGTAAACAAAATTAGGTCTAATTAACTAGAGATGGCAAGATTTCCAATGAGATTACAAGAATTATAAATTTAAAAAAAAAAAAAAGAATTTAAATTAATTGGAACACTGAAGTATATCTGATTTGATTCATAGCTTTAATTCATATTCGATTATCAATTCTGAGTTCAAAATGAATTTCTGTATAAAACAGTGAAGTTTTAAGATAACAGAGTTGATTTTACTGCTATAATATCGTATCCCTCTGTACATATAAAGAAGATTTGGTTAAAAAAAAAAAACAGTTATAATATCTATCCATATTTGTTGAAATTTTACTTGTTTAAACAAAATGCATAATAATTATTATACGATGTTGTCGTGATATCCAGGAATTCGGGAATTCTTAAATGTTGTGGTGTCATTAGCTCGACATAAATTATGCAAGAAGTACATGTGTTTTGCTGCTGTTCACGTGCCTTGCAGCAGAGAATGTTTGTGTATGCACGAAAGGGTGGCAAGAATGTCGTCGACGACGACAGGAACAAATGCAAAAGGCTTTACAGAACTTGATTCCTGGTCTCCATATTTAAATAGGTTAAAGGTGTAGTTCACTTTCAAGCCATCAGCAAAGTGTTCGACTATGTTTTACCAATTCAGTTTGCATCAACTTATTTCTTTGTGAACTTCCTTTACAGTTTCTGTTTATCAAGTATTGGGAGAACTGTAAGATTAAAGGTTATGGCTATAGGAAAAGCTAATATCATGTATGATATATATATAATACACCATAATGACCTTCTATGATTATTAATTCATTTCGCTCATTTTAATTTAATTAAAATAGTTCTTGATATATTTCAAGTTCTCTCATACTAAATCATTTCCTTGTTAACTCTCTATTTAACTAAAAACCTTTCTGACCAAAAGGATAGTATTTTAGAAATTTCAATGAGGTATCATATTCCTTAATTATAAACCTTCAAGTACCAGTATTAATTAGGAGCTTTTTAAACTTTCATAATTACGAAGTTGTAAATTGCTTTCATTATTTTTTTGCGTATTTGAAAATTTAAACTAAATTGTGGTTTACTACAACTTCTTTTAATTTTCAGTATTAAGTAATCCTCTTTCTAATCTGTTAATGCAAATAATTCTTAAATTGGAAATAAAAATAGCACTTTTGTCTGAAAATTTAACTTCCAGCATCAAATTTAAACGCATTAATTTTATTGAACTACTCATTCTTTTTTTTGTTCATGCAATTTCGCTCGCTATATATTATATTAATAATTGCTATAATTATCCAAATATTATTCCATTCTATTTTTTTTTTTCACTTTTTCTGACTAAGATAAAATAACAGCCTTTTTTGGGAAAGTGATAATGGGTAACAAAGAATTAGGTAACAATTTAAAGCTGTTTATTTTACAGAGCACAAAGTGGAACAAAAAGTGTTCGACTGCTTGGTGGTTATTCCATATATCAGTTACTATTATTATATTATTATTGTTATTGTTCTATTATTGTTATTGCTACGTTACCATGTATCTTCCGGATAATTCCACTTTTATCACCGGAATTCCAAGCATCGAAAGTGACCGTAAGTCTTTTTCGTTCCTTCATTTCCCTGCAAGCGAAAAGCAATAATTTTTGTTGCGGTTTGTTTATTCACTTAATTCTAGAAGAATTCTTGGATGAAAATTTCAGTGGTCCTTCAGACCTTAATTTCTGAACTTTTCTGGTCCAAAAATGAAGTTCCATCTTTGATTGATTAAAAACAGTTATTCAGGTGTATCCAGGATGTATTCTAATCTCTACATATTGTTTGCATTCATGGGTTTCATTATTGGCTCTTTTGTACTATTTTTCACAATCAATGTCTCTAAAGCTCGACTTGGTAACGTTTTGTTTTTTTCGCATAACTCCATTTCCTGCAAATGTTGAACATTGCCAGTGTATCAATTTATATAATTAGTTTGTGAAATTGATACAACTAATTAGCATTAAATTAAAAATGAGGGTAAAAAGAGAATAAATGGCTTATTCTAAATTAGCTTATCAAAATTTAAGCCAACGAATTATTTTTAATTGAAAAAGATCTCTGATGCTTATCTAACATTTAAATATGTTGCTCATAGAGTTAATAGAATATCCTTAAGAATGTTTCTTTCGTCGGCTTTTAATATTTTAGTGTAATCATCAATCAAATATGATGACTGGAAAAACAAATGAGCAACAGAATTTTTGTAATTTCTATGTATGGAATTTAAACCTAGCTGCATTGCGCTTGAGTTCCTAGCCATTTAAAAGTCTTATCACATTGCATCGTAAAACTATCATTTAAAAACTAGACACTAATAAGGCAGAGCAGGCAATATAGGAGAATGCGACCATCATTGATCGTGATATTCTTAACGGTTAACTGGTACGGAATGACATCAGGAATGACATCGACATCTTTCATAAATATACATAACTTAGCGCGCTCCTTCTTTAATACTAGAGAATTGCACATTTTCACTTATCATCTGATTAAATTTCTTCAGGGAAAGTACACATAAATAATATTAATATCGATAATTTGGGAAATGCTTTTTCATGTTTTCTTAAATTTCCAAATTTTAATTTGAACTCCAACACTGCTTATAATAATCAAATACTTCATGTACGATAGTACGACCTAAGCCATTGCTTTTTTTTTCAGCTGTTTTTTAGCAGTTATATACATGCAATTTAACTTTTAAACCTTTTCAAGTCTCTGAGTTGTTTCAAGCCTATTTAAGAATTAAATTCTATGAATATGATTTCAACACCAATCTTTGCAGGAACACGAAACAATACGAAAGTATATGTAATCGATTTGCCACCAAGATATTCAGAAGTGGAACCACCACCATATGACTGGGTTTTGAAGCATCGTTATCTTGAAGATTATTCATCTAAAATGCATATGACATTAAATTTGTCAACGGTGATGGTTATCTGCAGCTGTTTAGTACTTTCATAGTACCAACTTGTTATTTGTTGTTGTTGCTGCTAATCAGATGTATTGATTGAGACTTGGTCACGTCACGGCAACTATTTTGTTTTCTGTAAAAGTGGAAGGAAATATTTCGCATGAATTAGTAACTTTCACTTGTTTTATTTGATCCAAACAGTTATGCTCTATAGAGCACTGTATTGCTCTATTATATCAGGATCTGATAACGCAAGTTCATGCCTATCCAATTAATATGAACGAACACCAGCATGTCCGGCACCTTAGGCATTAATGTTTTCATGTTTCAAGTCACTTTAAGAAACAGCTGCCTTCTTTACAAACTTAGCCTCAAATCATTTTACCAGTGCAATATTGACAACACTAGATCTCCTCCTAGCAATAATCTAATACTTTGGAAAATTTTCATTCCAAACATCGACCAAAGCTCATCGCCTTCTTCCTTTGTTTTTACTCTATGTTATTGCTTACAGTCTTTTGTTTTCATATTGATCAGTGTTATGTATCTACAAAACGGGTATTCCTACATCTCGTCAATAAACAAGTTATCAGCTCGAACACTTTTGCTTGTTTTTCCTTCAATTAACAACGCACTTTTCTTCACAGTTATTTCACTACTACAAACCAAAATTCTCCCGAAATACGTCCTCGTCGACTTGCTTCGTAGACTTAAAAAGCATGCTTAAAAAAAACAACTGATCTTAGACTTAGACTTAAAAACAATTGCCTGATCCTAGATTTATCTGACCCTAGCAATAGTTTACCCGTCCTTAATGCTGGAATCTCGAAGTTACTGTTTACGTTACCCCATATTTTCTAGTGTCCACACAACAATGGATGTAACAATCCTCGATTTCCCAAATCAGATTTCCATATTTCAACATGCACTGATCTATCATACCATTATAATTCTTTACCATGGAAATAACCGAATAGAGTGTTGTCACCAGTGTTACTCATTACTTACAGTTAATTTTAAATGTAAATACTAAGTGAATAGAGCAATACGTAAAATAATTGTAAATGGAATATATACAAAAGAACTTAACCTCGAACTTGTGGTCACTGGCAAAATGATTGAAAGGAACAATGAAAGCCAGGCTAATTTGAGTAAATTAATAAGATTAACATGAATGACGAGAAGCGCAAAACGGAACACTGATACTAGTATTCCTAACTTCATGACGATTAACAAACAAAATTTTTTTAAAAAAAAACTTCAGAAATAAAGACCGAAAGAGACAGCAATTTATTGACTGAGGAGACATTACTAGGATATTAGATAACTGAAAGGTAATTTGCGAGAACCAGTTAGAGATCAACAAAATTAGCAGTAGAAAGTGACATTACTCAAACATGTTGATATACATCCTTCTTCATATGAAGTGTTGGTCATGACGCTGTGCAAAAATTTTATGGAGAGCTTAACGAAAAAAATTAGTGTACAAATTATTCAAACTAATTAAACTCTCAAATCATTCGTATTAAGTCAACTTGAAACTCAGAAGCTCATTATGAAAGATTTATTATAAAACGAATTTTCAGTGAAAAATAACAAATATTCAGACCAGAAGAATGAAAGTCTTCTTGAAAAGATTGAGATGACAAGTACCGCTGCGATCCTACTTAAAGCAGTAAAAGTATACAATTTGTAAAAACTGTTGCTTTTAAACATTTCCATTTCGAACAAGCTTAAAAGTAACTAAATACATCTATAGCTCATTTCTTCTTGTGCTTTCCACGAAAACTTTTCCTCTTCGCTTCGTAACTTTCTAATGTACTGTCATTTAAGCGAACAGCACAACCCGGTTTTGACTGCCAGTGAGTAAAATCACTTAAAAAATGAAATGATATCTGATAAATGTACAGCAACTGAAAATATTTGGAGTTTTGGAAAAAAAAAGAAAAGAAATAGTGAAGTGTATCGAGATAAATAAACCTGTAACTCTGCGCTTTATAAAATGATGGCGCCAAAAGAAATGAATTTTCCATTGGCTCGTTCAGTTTTTGGCGATCGTTTCGACGACGGGTGAGTGGAGGAAACATGTAATCAACCGTGTCCATTGCCAATGACATAAACGATGTTTCAAAACCAATGGAATCAGCACGTCTAACACGACCCTGTTTATCAATAATCAGTATTCTATCTGCAGGTATATCCACTGCTCGATAACTTACCACGTCCTGAGAAAGACTTCATACAGTAAAAACTACTTCAGCTTTTTATTAATCATAAAACAAGACTTCGAAAAACTAAGTTCTGCCGGAAGTGAAACCGAATCTGCAAGCATATAAAGTGTACCCATATCCTATCCTCTATGCTCTTTCCATTATTTGTATTATCTTATACAATGTTGTTGGGACGTAACAGAAGCAAAAACAAGTAAGCTAAGACAAAAGATTAGAACCATATTTTAAAAAACAATGGATACCGAACTGACACATTAAAAAAAGAACTAATGAGTCTACAATTTCCATTAAAAAAATCTACAATTACTATGAAGTTAGACTTCACAGATTTTATATTGTATCCAGTAATATAGTTTTTGTATCTTGAACAAACTGAACAACACTTGGAACCTTACTGTTTCACGATTTCCAAAACCAGCGTAAAATGGGCGTTTTACCGGGAAGCATTCCTTCAAATCTGTCAAAGCAGCTATTTTAAATTCTTCTGGTTTGCGATCTATAACTTCTCTGAAAAAAAACAAACCATCATTATAAAGTGACATCAATAAAGAGAACACCTGACCATTAAAGCAGTTTTTATTTATGAAAACCTACACTGGATCAGCATTATGTATGCAACACAAACAGCAGAAACTCATTTGCAAAAATAAGGACAGAAACCCGGAAAAAACCCAATGAAGAGTGCATATTGATTTGTACGTCAAAGTTAAATACTGAAATTTACCAATAAATAAAAACGTTATTATTTACCAATAAATAAAAACGTTTAGATACCTTCTAAAAGCCATAAGTACAGATGTAGGCGATAATAATAATGGTCCATCAGGTAAAAATTTTGCGTTCTGAGCAATACTTTGCAAGTATTTTTTTGTAGAATAACTTTGTCCTATAGCTCGAGAAGACAAATAGACCAACTGATAACTAAAAACCTGCATTGCAAATTTAATGACATGTTCTTCAAGATGATTATACGCTTTCAATTTTTTCTTGGCTGATGAGTTTCAGCATTCCTCATTTAATAATAAAAAAAATTTCACCCATTTTCTTTGATCCTAGTATACAGTTCTGCGACACCAGCATGAGCCCATTGACCACCAATAGCTGGTATAACATGTCCCAATACATCACTTTTCGTTATGGTTCCATCTATATCGGAGATAACTAAACGTTCAGTCCATTTATATAGATAGATATGACAACTGCACCATGTGGTACCCTAAAATGTGCAACACAATACACAATAAACTAGATTATGCATGTGACTATAAAAGACGTCAAGATGAGAAATTTTGCAAACCTGAAATTTTGTAGTAATCGAAAATCTTGCTTCGTTCGCTCCCTCCTGTAACCCCAACTTTTTTAATTTATCACTGGAAAGTCGCAAAGAACGAATGTATTTTGGGAATTCCACAGTGGTTTCTGGATTCGAGGACACAGGTGCTGCACTTTCCATTTCGTCATCACTCATAGGACTATAAAAACACACGTGCATGAATTCATAATTTCTGAAAAATATCACGAAAGGTATGGCAATAAAATTAATTTGATAATACGAACAAGATATCGCTGGAGGGAGTTACGCTGCGAGCATGATTTCTTGTTTCATAACCGTGTGCTTCGGTTGTCGACTCATGTGTTTCGGAAAACCGAAAAGAATGCTGATTGTCCGATAAATTTACATGAACTGTATGTTTCTGCAATTCTCTTGAATATTCTAGCTAGTAGTAACATGGAAAGAACAACAATTGGTTACTGCAAAATTAGCAGAAATATTTATTATTTTAGCATTAAATTCCAAATGCTTTCTACGAATGACACTAAAAAATAAACCTTGCCCTCGGATGTTGGTGTCGAAGTTCGTTCTTGTTTCCGTATTTCGCTATTCACTTCATTTTCATTGTCACTTACTTTAGTAGGAGAATTCAATCCTGTTATAGAACCATTCCCACTGTCATTGGGTGGTGAAGGACTACAACAAAATCAAAATAAGTGATTGTGAAATTCCAGTTTCGCACAATTCGTTGTTTATAAATAAAGCACTGGATAAAAAAATCCCATTTCACTGTTACAAATTTAGTTGCAGTAATGTCTGATTTTTAGCATCCAGTCATATCTAATTATAAACTTGATTGTATGACCAAAAATGAAAAGCAGCCCAAATTAATAAAGAGACCTGCTTTGATTGTTGAAACAGTGAAAACGGCAATTCGCTAACATCACTCACCACACAGTAGGAGGCGACATTCCTAGATATTTTTCGATTTTACTGGGATCATCGGCATTCTGTACAAGATCATCCAAATAGACACCCTGATCTTCTGTCGGTTTGGTACGTGACCACCGAAACCATCCACCCCATGTAGATCCCTTCTTTTCTTGTTCAGTTTTTGTATCATCTTGTTTCTTGTTTGCTTTTTCCGTCTCTTCAAGTGTTCTTGGCAGCTCACCCCACTTCCATACCACTACTTCATTTTCGGGCTGAAATTCGTAATAACGCTTAAGTTCAAGAAGTGAAGCAATGTTACAAATTTTATAAAAAAAATTATGGAAGATCAGCATTTAGATAACAGAGATGCAGGAAGCAAAGTTAACTGGTTCGGGAATGTCTCGATGTCGTTCAAGTTCAGAATCCGAAAATGCACCATCAGCAATCATTCTCAAGCCAGGAACTTGCAAATGATCCGTTCCATCAATGGAAACTGTTGATGCTGCATCGTCTACATCACTTTCCTAAAATCTGTATTTTTGTCTAGTCACTTATTATGTATATGAATAATCAAGAGGCCAGGGAAAAATAAATATTACATGGCTGAGGTATTGAAATAAAGCACCTCATTTGTTGAGTTTGATGATTTACGCATTGGCTTGGTACAAGCGTTTGTATATTTTTTGCGAAAGTTGCAAGCTGGAGTGTGTCCTGCAGCGAATGCGTGAGAGTACATTAACTGCCTACAAATCATAACTATCAAATCTAGTTTGCAAAATCTAAAAATACAAAACAGATTACCCACTATCTGATTATTAGCCGAAAAAAAAAATCACTAGAGAGTTACCGATTTTTGTAAATCATAGTGAAAATGAATTTCAAGTAATTTACTTGAGTGCAACAAGATTTTTCGAATTTAAAACAAGAGAAAAAAAACCAAAAAACATCCAGAAGTATAATCAATCGTTATTGTGCAAAGAAATTGAACCAGAAAAACGATAAAGCTGATCTGACACAACTGTGATGACTTTTGTATCCTCAGCCCATTTCGTAAACACATCACTACGATTGTAAAGTGGAATTATTGTGTTCTTAAACAAAAATAACTTTTTCAAATTTTAATACTACCTCTTATTACCCATAATTCTGTTAGTTTGTTCTTGCTGTCGGTCGTCAACAAATTCAGTAAGATTCGGTAAAGATCGATTCCTACGTTGATTAAACAGTGATGCATTGAATGGAAGTGTTTTTCTACGTTGAATGTCTAATTCACAGGAATGTTCGCTATAAATAAAAACGTCTGAAAAAGAAATATATGTCTACTTACTTTAGCTTAAGGAGACTCGACATATGAATATACAGAAAATGTAAAAATAAAACCGTGAATGCGAAGAATGTGAACGGGAACTGGAACATTCTGAAAGTGCTCTTTTATATCTTGAACGCGACAGCTCTCGTCGGATTTTTTCTATCCTATCAGCAAGATCCTTAAAATAAAATTTCAATCTCAAATATATAAATATAGTTTGCACAAATATAACACTAACAGCGTTGCTGTGATACCTTCCCGTCAACTGGAGCATAGCTACTTCCTGGGACTGGGCTCGTCACCAGATATTCAGGAATATCAGCATCCGTAGTCAGTTCGGCAAAAAATGCGACACCATTTTCACCCAATTTCATTTTTAAATCTATTTCTTTGCCATTTATTGTTATATCCACATACTGAAACAAATTCCATTAAACAAACTGCCAAACTTTTCTTACTCTTTGACCTCTCGAGAAACACATACAGCAGCATATAAAATAAAAACGAAGATTGTGCTTAAATAAATATTTAAAATAGGAATATAAATAAAGATTCATAAAGATTAAAGAACGAACTAACTTTTTCGTCGCTGTTTAAAACGCCATATTTTCCGAACCTTACATGAAATGGTGTTGATAAATATGATCCATCCGGCTGCTCCACAACAATCAAATCAATTGCCCCTTGAAATATTTGAAAAATTCAAAGCAAAAATTCAACCAAAGTGAAAATCATAAATCCTCTTAAAAAACATAAAAGCTAAAAGCTAACAAAAATTATTTTTTTTTTATAAAAACTAAGTAAACCCAACAAGCATGTATTTTTAGAGACAAATTTTTAAAAATAAGAACAATAAGTAAATTTCTGGTTGCAAAGATCAAACGCTTTAAAAATTTTAAGAGTTCCTTTCGCAAAAAATAATAAATGTATAATTATTGTATTATAGAAGCGCTTATTTTGCATCTGCTCGTACTTCTAAAGAAACTACTGAAGAACAGCTATCTTATTCTACATTTGAGTTATCTCCACAAAAATACAAAGACAACAGTGAAGCATACCAGAAAGTGAAGCTGGATTGAGTGTTTTATAAAAGTATTTAACATTGTCCAAAAGACGATAAGCGTAATTCATCGTTCCTTGCTCCAAAAATGTTCTATTCTTTCTCCAGCCCGCAACACCAGCGCCTCACTAATATCCAGTGGTTGTGTTCGTATAAACTATTATTTCCAACACTAAAAGTACTGTAAAAGTAATAAACTGGACAAAATTTTAGACATATGTTAGATAATACAAGTTTTTAAAAAGAAATATTACAAATTTAATTCAAAAATTAAATAAAGAAGGAAAGAAGTGCATTCTGGTATAAATAATGCATAAACACAACTTTCGCCCGAAAAAAATGCACAAATAACGTGCAGTTATTAGCAGATGTCACAGTGGTAAATATTTTATCCTTTGAAATAAGCTTCTATAGAAATTTTTTGCTTGTATAAGTGTCCGAATAATGAGATCAAAGTGATAACTTTAAAAAAAAAAAAAAAAAGCTCAAATGAGATTGATTCAACAGTGGGATGGATCGCGAATATTAAACTGTCCTGAAGCTAAGGATGGAAAATAAATCCATCTTAATTCCTAAGCCTCGATATAAAACGAAAAGGTTAGAAGTTTTTATATTCTTCACATTCCTTACGCATATTCCTAGTGTAAATAAAGCATAAACAGAAACTGTTCTTTAAAAGCACAAAAATAATCCTAACTGAATCACTAACAAATTTTTATAAATCGTCCAATCTTACTGGATTACCTTAAATTATTCCGTTACTGTAAATACCATAAGTGTTACTTAAAACAGATTAGTATTTGAAGTTTAAAAAATCATAAGATTATTTATGTTTTGACAGCCAGATCGATGGTCTTCTAATCAGTAGTGCTTGTATTTAACCAACGTTCCAAACATAAAATCATTAGTAGAATTTTAACGAAACAAGTAAACGAAAGATAACTTATCAATAACTTCACTACAAAAATAGACAAATTTAAAATGAAGATAATAATGTCTTTAGGTTCTCTTTGTTTTTACAAACATTTGAAGACTAATATGCGAAATTCAGTTCAAAAAGAAATTCTCCGGCAGTAAATTTCCAAATTCCATTTTACCCCTTCAAATAACATTATGAATACAAAAACTGACCGGACAAACGTAACATGATAAAGGCATCCCTAACTCGTAATCGATACTTCTAAAATTCAAGAACACAATCCATAAGAACAACCTTTCTGTAAAAAAAATGAAAATTCTTTTTATGCGGCATCTTAATGAAATATTCATGTCCAAGCGACATAATATCTTTAATTATTTCTTGTGTTTCTTTTTAAGATCTGTTATTTAGTGGATCATTAGAAAAAATAAGTTATACAGAGGAAGTAGAAGTAAACATAGAGAATGTAAAAGTAATGCCAGTGAAGAATTAATGACGATATGATGAATATATTGATAAGAAGAGCGCGCAAGTATAGTGGAGAGTGATAAAGCTTAAAGGCAGGTAGATGATAGGATCAAACATATCTCTGAGCAAGCCGAGTCATTAAACGGTAAGACTGAAAACAAATAATGATGTTGTTTTAGACGGAAAGATTAGTTGATAAGTAGGACAGAAGGAAGAACAAGAGATTATTTCCACTTCAGTATTATTAAAATGCGATCATCCAAACCGAATTATTCGAAGTTTTTTCTCCTCCATCCCTTCTATACTATACCATTCTTTTTATTTAAAAAGTCATCTTGAATTGAAATTTGAAATGAAGATTTGGACGATGATTTAAAATATGTGATGAACTGCATTTCAAAATCATCATTTAAAAAAAGCAAATGCCAAATTTTGAGCTACTGTAAGTTGCAAAGAAAAATCTTTTGCTATCGAATTTCATTTGAAAAACCTAATTGATGGTGTCCCATGACAAATGAAAGGGTGAAGTAAGCTGTGAAGTGACGTTCATTTGTAATACGAATAAGTGATAGATGATTCATATTAAGTGTAACAGGCAATAACCTATTTCATTTAATTTTTTTTTTTAAATTTTTAAATAATATGAGGTTTGTTTTTCAAATTTAAAGTGAATAATATGAAGTAGATTTAAATTTTTTTGAAAACTTTTTTTAGCAATTTAAGAAGCAAATTTTTGCATACAGAAGGAATGGGCTATACTTATGTTTTCGTGATGTGACACTAATTTTTTTTTTTTTTTGCATGAATTGACTGATACCTGACATAATAATGCTGACTTCTAAACTATATACAATATAGTTGGTTTAGAATTATAGTGTTTATCAGGAAGAATTTCATAGCAGTTATCTTTGAACATAATCATGAATTAATTATTGCTTTTCAGATTATATTTGCAATTGATGATTATGGTGCTACTATATAGTTGATAATTTGAGCAAGGTTCTTACTTTTGCAAATAATATCAAAGGTGTGATGACTGTGCTTTTTTTCTAATTAAATGTCAATTTCAAAATTCTTCCTCAAATGCGAATAAATCAACGGAAATTTGAAGCAGAAGAAAGCAATTACTGTTTTATATAATGGCCAAGTTAACCAGAATGCTCCAATTATTTACTACGTTAGAAGATGAAGCTAAAATTAAGAAGTTTTTGCGTGTGGCATTTTACGATTAACGTGTTACTTTATTTTACATTTTATTGTCCTTTTCTCAATCTTCCTGAAAGTAGAAAATAAATTCAAGTACATTCAAATGGAAAATATTTGTAATTTCAAATTTAACAAGTGAAATATGAACTAGTAAGGTGAATTTAAAAAATTTTCATTTTAGTAGAAAACAACTTTGTAGTTACCAATTTCATTGCCAACTTACATTTCCATCTGTTCTTTTTGTGAAGTAAAATATTTTAGCTTTTAAATTTCCTTCTACTTTTGCTTTGCGATCTTTCATTGGAATTTTGTTAAGAAAAACTGAAAATTTTGTGATTCATATCAAAAAAAAAGCTGATTATTTAAATTTCCTAAAATAAAAAAGTTCAAACAATGGAAGGAAAAAACTAACTTCCGTATGCTTTTCATGTAATATTCATCTTTTTAATTTATTCCTATCAAACAGAAGTGAATTCATGCGACTGACCAAATATTGCTTTGCTTCTATTCCTTTCATTTTCAACTATTATTCGGAAATTGCCGAGCGATAATCTATATTGTTAAAAATTGAATACTTGTCACATTGTCACATGCCATTGCATTTAGAATGACAATTCCCAACAGCTGTTAGCATAGTGCTTCAAATTGCAAAATTTTATAGCCCACTATTAAGCATTGTTCATTACTTTTCCTACATGTGATTTGCAAAATACGGTAATTGTATTTTGAGTTGAGCAAAGTACTGTTTTTTTTTTTTTTTGAATCACAACCAAGTTTTCTACTGAGAAATTGACCCATGCACATTTAGAAGTCTTGGAATGATTACCAGACAGATAATAATCTGTATTCTATTGGCATCCTCGAAGAGAGAACCTGTTCTCCCTAAAATAAAAAAAATAAATTTTAATGGTATTTCCTTTTCCACAGTAACTCATTCACTTATTTTCTCTTTTCGAATCCATAATTGCTACGTTTGTATAAAGCAAGTTAATTTGTTCCCACCTCACTAATGCGCCATTCTAATTAAATTTGTATCACTAAAAGTGTGAGAGTTAAAGAAGAATGTAATTTTTACATTTTGCAGTGGCACACATTTATCATATTAGTATTAGAATTCCTTTATTTGAATGAAATTTAAGTAAAATTGATGAATAAGATGACAGAAGCTGACCTTCACTTAATACAATTACAATTATATTGTCGGTCATTTGAGAATGTAGTGGTTAACGAGAAATTACTGATTGTGGTAATAAGCAGCAAACCAGTCCTTTTCTGATACTTCCAGGCATTCATGTGCATGAATTAGTGGCTTGGAATAGTATGATTACTAGACTTATAGTGGCATATTTTTTGATAGTATACAGCCGAGCAGTTTATGCTCCAGTACCACTTGTTTCTCGATATAATGAAACAGAGGCTAAGATTCTGCTCAATCTTACTGCTGGTGCTTATTCCACTGATCCGGAGAAATGTGTCAACAAGTAAGTTTGTTAACTTAAAGCATTGTATGGAAAAGGAATTATTATTCTTAGTGGTTTCATAAATTTATTCAGAAAATCATTCCTGAGATTTCTTTCGTTTGAAGGAAATGTGGTGTGATATGATATGACAAGAGATAAAATAAATCTCATGAGTCAACTGAGCTGTGAAAATTAATTGTTTTCTTAAAACGTTAAACATTTTTTGAATGATATCGTAATTTTACTAGTGATAATAGTAAGAAGACGTTTGGCTTATTTATTAAGCATCATTTTATCTTTGTTTACATATATATATAAACCAGTAATATTTTTAATTAAAATTTATGTTTAAAAATATAAGTTTTACAAAAAATGGAAACGTTATCGTTATCGAATAGCTCATTTATAATCAATTTCAAATCTTTGGTGGCTTATAAAAGTGTGATTTAAAAATTTGTTACAGCACATTACCCAAATGGCAGAAATGGTTGATATGCAATACAGAGAGCATGATATGCGATGCATTCCAGAATTTCTGTTCACTGTATATAATAAGATCGGATGTTATGAAAGAAATAATAATTGTGTTTCGAGGTACGACGACAACTAAGCAATTAATTGTCGAAGGATGGCAGTCGATGAGATCCAAAAAAAATTTCTTTAATATTGGGATGGTAGTTTCCTCCTAGAATTTAGTTTTTTAAAACTTAAATGACTTTTTTTAAACATTTTTACTCACAACTGGTTAAAGAAAATTGCAATTCTAGCGAACTTTCGCAATTTTAAATCCAAAATATAATAATTTTCAACTTTGACTGCAGTGTCATTATATTAGTTTCTTTTTAAAAATCTTAATTTTATAACTTTTAATGAGATATCGAGATGAGTTTAAGCTAATTTTAATAAGTCCAATTTCTACTAAATTTTTCGTAATAAACAATTACCTAAGGTCAATCGATATTTCTTACAAGCACTTGACAAAACCTGGCCAAATATAGAGCCAGTCCTCATGAATCCT